TCCCGGGAGTCGTTGCAACTAGCCTAGCGCGTTTGGGCGCTTGGTCGTTACTCCTTGTTTGGCATTCAGAAGGCCATTTAGCGGACCGTAATTCTATACTCAGTGCTCATGTCCCTACACCATGCAAAAACCATTTTCAAAAAGCGTACAACTCTCTGTAAGACCTTCTTTGTAAGTGCACCCACGACTCTCCACACACACGTATGCGTCGATACACGTGCGAGAAACAGAGGGTATATTGACCAGCACAGCAGAAACAGGAGTCCATCCCCTGAAACCAACTGCGTCTTTGGGCAAGCACTAGCGTCTTTTAGTCGGCGATTTACTCCCCTAAATGCCACCTAGAAACACCTTCGTGGTCTCGTTGCTAACCGGCTGGAATCCTTCAGTGAGAGAGAAGCTTAGAAAAGAAAACCAATGGGGTATAACCTCATTTAAATGTGACGGTGTTGGTGTTCCCTTTGAAACTTCGAGTTTGCCAGGCAGATGTCGTTTTCATCATAAAGTTAATATCTATAATGGTGAGTTTGGTGCTGGGGAGTCCGGTCGTAAGCGCTGATTTGTTTGGATCCTCAGAATGAGTTCCCCTCTGAACGCATTGCCTACTTTTGCAGTCACTATGTGACTTTCAAAATGTCAATATGTCCGCGAAAACCCAACATTGTGCATTCTCCTACTGCCGGCTTAGGGGAGCATAAATCGTTCATCGACCTGTTCTTCTATGACTGCCCTTAAGGCTCCTGTGTCAAGGAAGAAGAGCACTTGCTCGTGCTTCTCCTTCCTGTAATTCAACAGGTTTCCTTCAGCAGTCATCAAAACTAGCGGAACCTTGTGTGTTTGCTCATTTATTTATTTATCCATGGACGCAGCATGACTGCGTGGTAAAACAAGCTAGCTAGTGGAATGGCGTTCCCGTTACATATGGGTGTTAGTGCTCCACCGATTTCCAGAAACATCCTGATTTCTCTGAGTGTAGTAATGACTCCTGTTCCGGTTGCCTTGAGGCTTGGCGAAAAGTTCGTTCCGAACACTTTCATGGTTATGTTTGCTGCTGGTGAAATTCTTTCTGATTTCGTCTTGATTTGCATTCGGGATGGACTGGACTCTTCTATACTACCTTTTTGACGCACGGCGATAAGCAGTGATTGTGATCAAAGCGTGTGCAGTTTGCTTTCTAGCATTCAAAACTGCTACGGTTGAGTGAGCATGGCTTTGGTTCGTAAAGGTTCTACATGCAAGTAAGAAGTGACTATTCCTATGACAAAAATGCACTTATTTTTAACTCGGGGCGCGAGTTGCCTTCCATACTACGCCCTTCGGTAGAGCTGTTGCCTAGGACGCGACCCAATCTAACCTCGTCGTTCGGCAATCTCCATCTTTGACAGAGTTATCAGATCTTCTGTTGTGAGACTATCTCGAGCGTGCCACTGTATCAGAACGGGCTTCAAGACCTCCTACGGAAATTTGACAAAATCGTTTCGCATTATATTGTATCATAAAGCAGTAGCATGCTGACATCATTTGAAGGACCAATGCTTGCATTTTGCCGTATAAGCCAACTTTCTGCCGAATTCCCAGCTGGATTCAAATTTATGAAGCTTTGCACTGTTTGGGGCCTATTAAAGAAAAGGTACCACATCCTCATTGGAGGGATTAAACTACCCACTTGGAATTTTCTGACACTAGTCTTACTCCCTTTATAGAGTCTTGCGCATTACAATCATTATCGCAGTTCGTAGCCACCCTTTTGACGCGATTCGCATCGGCTGTACTTGAGCTTGCAAACCTCCACTTGCCGGTCTGCCACTCCCTACCTGCGCCCCGAGCAGGACGGCGGACTAACGCCCCTAGGACCAGGGAGTGTTGGCTGAGGAAGTCCCACCGACCTTGCCACGGCGTTCCGAAGCCATAGACTCTACGACAGGATTCCTGCCCCCGACACAGGTACCAGCTGTATGAACGCGGCGACACAACCTACACTTCCCGTCGCTACCAGAGTGCCCTCCCTCTCCTACTTCCCAAGGCCAGTACAGAAGTAAGGGTTACTGGTTTATTACACTACTACGCAATACACTACAGCTACGAAATATTAAAAGAGAAACTATACACAAAGAGGCTAGATCCACGGGCCGAGCGCCAAAGAATATCACACGAGAAGAATGAGGATCATCATGAATAAAGCACACAATTAAATATATCAAAACACGCAATACACACATGAGTAGAAGGCACATATACAAGAGTGAACGACACTCACCTGTCACTCGATCTTCAGGCTCCTTCCTGAGCAAGCTCCTTCAGCTGTTCATTCCAGGCCCTCATTGGCCTCGGCGGGCTTCTTGCCATCCTTCCTCCTCAGTGTCCGACAGGTGACAACTGTGCTCCATCACAGCGGGGCACTTGGATACTAGTCGGGTTACACTGGCGCTCCGTTGCTCTATGCGCAACATCACAGCGTTACCCGGCTATACCGGTCAGCAGCCGACAGCCAGCCGGTCGCGGTGCATGACGAGTGCCGACTGCCCAGGCTTTGCGAAGGAACGCGCACAACGTGCGCACATACACGCCGCCTTGTGGCGGCCGAGCAAAGATGGGCCGGGGCGCGCGCGGTGCGCCCGGCGACCACCATTGCATCCGCGGCACTCCCAAGGCATGCGAGAAGCCCGCCCAGGGAGTGTGTGGGGCCACGGGCCCTCCCGGAACAATACACACCGGCTCCCAGAATTAAGACCAGCCAGATAGAAACCCCCTGAACACAGCTGAACAAACTTGGCCCTCTTGCCGTAATGCCTGCACACATCTTCCTACCCTAGGTTCGTGCCGTGTCATGAAGGCAGGAAGGAAGTGAGAGAATAGAGATCTTGAGGCCAAGAGGGAGAAAGATGAACACCGAATAACTGCCTTATAAATACACACCGAATGGGCATCATGCACGGCTCTGAGCTCCATGTAAACCAGTAAACAAGTAAGAGCGAAAAAATGGGTTAAAGTAGTAACGCACAAGACAATCACAAATAACACTAGAAAATAAGTGAGAGCCTTAGGAGCAACTCACTAACTCATCCTCAAGAAAATCTGAGGGTAACTTAAAGACGAGAAATCAAGCGTTGAATATGACTGCCATACGATAGATGACCTGACTTGTCAAGCCCTCACTATCTTTCCTTGACGATCAACTGCTGACCACTCGACTGTTTGCACTGACTGACATGATGTTGACTTTGACATTGACATGGAACTCGATGACGTTGACGCGACCGCGGCTTCTGCATCGAACCGTAACCGAACTTCCAACGACCAACGATCGAACTCGACATCGACCAACACAAGTTGTCCATAAGCAATCGTCGTCCTTGACCACTCGACTCGTTGACCACCGTCTCGACCAACTTCCTCGAACAACCAACCACTTGACCAATGAATCGAATCGACCAAAACCTAAACGACAGACAGGGGTGTGCACCTTGAACACACACCAAAATGTAGATATAAGAAACTGACAAAATATAACGACAAGCGAACTTACCTGCGTGAACTTACCTGCACATCTTATTGCCGAAAAACAAGTCGAAACAAATCGTCACTCATACCTCAAAACGCACTAACGGATGGGATTAGACCACTATCCGTACGTATTATCGCACTTGACGACCAACTAGTACATCCCTCCCGCTGCCGGGCTTCTCCGGTCGCGAGGTGGTCTGCTAGTTCGATCTTTTTCTCTTCAAGAGAACTGCCTATCCACCGAGCGAGATCTACGTCTCACGTGCGGCGGATACTGCTGACCGCTTGGAGGGATGTCCAAGTACGAGACACCCGTTGTATTGATATAAGACCGCGGTGCCATAGACGCATTAGTCGAACTTGAACTCTGTGACTGATAGTCCTCCAATCGATCTCTGTCTATACCTATTCCTACTACCTAGTCGCCCCTTTTTTCGGCTTTTTCGGCCTCGCCGACCCGAGGATCTGGACCCGTGGAGTCCATCCTCCCGACTCAGCGAGAAGAAAGAGCCTCCGGAGGCTTGAGAGCTAGCCGGCGGCTGGTTGCGGGATGTCTAAATAAAGGTGTCGGCCTTCGCTGCTGCTGTTAACATGCCGAAGAGGGTTCGGAATTCCAGGTCCGAAGCCTCCCAACTTGAACTTAGGCTTTTCAGGTTCGACGTTCGATACCTCAGCAGATTACGATTAGTGGCTTTTAGCTGCTGAAGCGACGCATTAAAAACAAGAAATGCAACTATTCTCACCAAGATGATGAGAATAGTCGCAAAGAGAATAATTCATGTGAAAGTCTCACAAGAATGGCGATTTGTGAGCAAAACTCCAGTCTCGGACGGGACTCGAACCCGTCCTTGTCCTTTCCGGAAACCGTGCTCATATCCCTTACACTACCGAGACCCCGCTTGTCCTCGCCTTCTTAATGGCTTATATGCCATAGATTATCAGCACTCACACGTACAACGTGTTAACGGTTCTGTTCTGATATTGGCCGGCCGGCTCAACACGTTGTACGTGTGAGTGCTGATAAGCTATGGCATATAAGCCAATAAGAAGGCGAGGGCAAGCTGGGTCTCGGTAGTGTAAGGGATATGAGCACGGTCCCCGGAAAGGACAAGTATGGGTTCGAGTCCCGTCCGAGACTGGGGTTTTGCCTACAAATCGCCATTCTTGTGAGACTTTCGCTTCGCGTACTGCGGCGGTAAAACAGCAGTTAACAAAACATCAAGTCAAAACAAGCACTAATTCATGTGAGAATACAATAACGACTATAATGGAACTAATAAAGGGAAAGGAGCTAAACTAAATAGGAAAGAATTAAAGAACAATAATGGCCAAGGAAACTTACCTCAAAGCCTCCTTTCACTGCTCGTTGTACCATGCAGTTGAATATTGGTTTGCCGTTCGAGATTGATGACTCACTTTCTTGCAGTCTACGAAATTATCTGCACGTGATTTTACGAAAGGCTCCAGGGAAACACAATTTTCCATTGAGTCGCGTGGACAGAGTCTCACCGAACGCCAAGGCGGGTTACTGCGCATGGATCGAGGAGGAGATCGTCTGTGCCGAAGCGAAGATCTTGCTCGCCCATTTGATGAATGGTGCGGAGGGATTGACCCCTTCTCCTCATTTGATGATGAAGAGGAGCTAAATGAACCACTATAAGTTTGCGGTAGGATAGCTTAGCTTCTTCGCGGCAGAGTGCCCTGTGATGGGCATCTTGACACAGCGAACAAGAGGGTCGATTACAGTTCTCTACCGTGTGATGTTGGGAGAAGCATATAAAGCATAGACAGTCTTTTCGATCAATAGCCCACCGGATTGCGCGTGATGTTACACGATTACATTGGTGAGAGCGATGGTGATTTGACCTACAAAACCCACAAGTTGAAGATCTGGTTGATTCTCCATGTCTTGATGTTGAACTCCGGGAACTTGGCAATATCGTCGGTAAATACTGAGAGATCAAACTTGGGTGAGCGCATTGCTTGCTCATGTGAAACCCTTCTACGTACTACCTTAGGAGGATTGATCGGACCTTCCTCGGACTCCTGAAGGTTCAAGGCCGGAGGACCAAGGAGTGATCTGTTAGATTCCCCATAGTGTGCCTCACGCTTACCAAGGAGTCCTTCCTCTGAGAAGTGAGTACACCTCACTGAGGTACCAGCAGTGGGTTTAGTTCCTGATAATGTTGTAGTATGAGTCGAAGGACTGGGTGTATTGTATTGGCCCAATCTGCTGATGGCTACGTCGTGCCTAATCAGAAGATTCCTCGCCGGATCCTCGGCGACCTCTCCCCCACTCGCGGACCAGTGGTTGATATAGTCGTTAACGAGGGCCTTGCGTGTCTCTTCCGTGTCTTGCTCGAGGGCATGTTGTATGGCAGCTGCCCAACACTGGGAGCTGCCTCCAAGACCCTGGACAAAGCACTACATGCAGGGAAAAGTTGTTCATGACGCCACGAATCAGCATATGCGCGTTGTACGCGCCTTCGGCAAGCTGTAGTGGCTTAAGGAGAGCTGGTGGAATATCATCCACAGCTTGCTGAAGTCGTTGGCTAACGCGTGATAAATTGTAGCAAGGTACCTGTTCCATCCTCGCGAAAAGCAAGCGTCCGTTGATAAAAGAAGCGATGAAGTGGGAGATGGAGTTACCCTATGTCCTTTCACATGACGCTGGAATCAAAGTACTGTCTGCTACATACTATCTCTCTACGTTCCCATGGATGTTGATGGGAAAGGGAATCGAGGAAATATCATTCGACGGAGAACGTGAGAACAGCTGTGACAGGCATGGAAAAATGTCTTCGCGTCCTTTATCGATCCGCT